GAGGGGGAGGAAGGAAGGAAAGAGAAAAAAAGAAAGGAAAGAAGAAAATCACAAAGAAAAAATCTCACACTGCAAATGCTTTAAGAACCATTCTCTAGAACAGAGCCATGGTGTGAAGGAGATTATTCATGGGATAAGAGATGACTATGAAAAAAGCCATGTTTTTAGTGACTACTGTGTGTCAGGCCCTGTCCTGGGGGCTGGGGAGACAAAGATGAAAAACAGCATGTCCGTCAAAGAGCCCCCGGGCTCTGGGGGGACACAAGTTGGGCCCAGGTAAATGCATTGTAAGCAGTAGGTGCATGATAGGGGCTAAGGCAAAGAGATGCCGACCAAGTGTTCTGAGAACATTTGAGGAGAGAGAGACAGACCACTTTCAGAAGAAGCCATCAGGGGAGGCTTCATGGAGGAGGTGGCATCAAAGCAGATCCGTGAAGGCAGATAAGGATTCTGAGAGGTAGGATGAGGATGGCTGTGGGGACAGAATCAACAAGACTTCAAAACTGATTGAATGTGAAGGCTGAAGGAGAGGGACAAATCTTCAGTGACACTGAGGTTTCATACCTCTGTGTTGGTGAACATGGGGGTGCCATATGCAGAAAGAGGTCAATTGGGATGAGAAGTGGGAGATAATGGACAAAGGATCACAGATTTAGAGCAGGAAAGTGCGTTAGAGGCCATTGTATCCAATCTCCCAGTTGATAACCAATGAGGAAACTGAAGTCAGAGAATTAAGTGGCTTGCCCAGGGTAGCACAGCTAGTAACTATTTAAGGAAGTATCTAAGCACTCTATGCACTATATCACCAGACTAACTCGTATGTTGTTCTTGAGGCAGCAACGGGGTGTCCAGATCAAGATGTCTGACAGACAACTGGCACAGGTGACTGGAGTTCTGTAGGGAGAGCAGGGTTGCAGAGATGGTTTTGCATTGCCCAGAGTTTGACATCGGAGCCATGGAAGTAGATGCATAACCAACTGAGAGGAGAGCCCCAAGGACAGAGCCTTGAGGATGCTGTCCTTGAGCAGGTGGGCAGATTATGATCTGCCAGTGAAGGAGCAACCAGGGAAGAAGAATGAAGAGTTAGCAATGCCACAGAAACTGAGCAAGAAAGTACTACGTGACTGACATCCTGAAATCCTGTGAATGAGTAAGGAAGGGGGCTGAAAAGTGGTAACGAAGCAATGTAGTAATCAAGGGGCCCTTGGTGAGCTCTGAGCAAGAGATTTGCACAGATTGGAGGAGTCGGAGGCCTGATAATAAGGGCCCGAAGGGTTAGCGAGTTAGCCAGTAGGAATCTCTCTTTTGAGGAGATTGTCAGCCAAAGGAAGGAGAGATACTGAATGGCGATGGGGGCAAGGAAGGTTTGTTTTCTTAAGCATGAGGTGGTGATGAAGGAGTCCTTCATAGACTTGGAGCTGGAAGGGACCTTAAAGGCCAATGAGTTTAGACCCCTCATTTTACAGACAAGGAAACTGAGGCATAGCGATGTTAAGAGATTTGCCCACGATCACACAGCTAGTGACTCTTTCAGGTGGAATGGAATCAAGGACACAAATAGTGGGGAGCTGGTTTTGACAAGAAGGAGCACTGCTTCCTCAGTCACTGAGAGGGGAGAGCTAAAAATGTTTGGACAGAAAGTGGGCTTACTATGTTTGTAATAGGAGAAGTGTGACCCAGTGACCAAGACTCAGAAAATCTCATTTGTTCACCCTTAGTTTCTGAATCTGTGACCTATACTAAAGTAGTGTCCTTCTAGATTCACCAAGTATTTATTTAGCACCCTCCCACACCTCATGTGCCAGGCGCCTTGTTAAACTATACAGAGGTAGGATCAAAAGGGAAACTGAGTCCTTGCCACTTTCCCCATCCCCCATGAGCTTACATCCTACTGATGATTGCAGCCTGAACCCTGACTGGGACAGGGATGTACCCTGTGATGTCACTGGTCTAGGAAACCCCATGGGGAGAAAACTCCTTTTACAATACAGATATTGTCTCTTCTCTGTAGTTTGTATAATCTCAGAATGTTGTTTAGATAACTAAGTTAAGTGACTTGTCCAGGGTCACAGAGCTAGTGAGGATGAGAAGTAAGCCCTGAACCCAGATTCATTGGCTTGTATGACCCTGGGCAATATCTGAACCTGGGTCTTCCTGTTTCTAAGTTCCTGACTCTGATGTTGGCTTTCTATCCATTCCATCACACTTCCTATCATGTAAATAGATATGAGGAGTAAACATGAGATTTTTTGAGAAGGTGAGAAATCAGTAACAACTAGAGAGTTTAGGGAAGGCTTCACACAGGAGATAACCCTTAACCTGTATTTGAAAGGAAGAAAATCATTTTCATAGGAAAGGAAAGATTACATTTCAGATGCAGCCTCCTCTTGGGAAAGGGGCTGAAGGGAGGTGAGGTTTTCCAGGCTGGACAGAGGCATCGAATGATCATAGGAGACAGCAGCCTCATAGGATCTGAGGAGCTTACGGATTGTTGCTCTCCAGCCAGAGCAGAAGGTAGCCAGAGAGAGGTGCGCTTGTGAGGCACTGATGGCCAATGGACACAGTAATGAGCAGCTCTAGCCTGGCTGGCTCCTTGGCCCATGTAAGGAGTGATCTGCCTGCCCAGAACCTTCCCCACGTCTGGATCTACTTGCTGCTGCACTGGGGGACATGGGGAAGTCAGACCCTTTCCCCTTTTCCTCCCCTTCCTCATCACTGTCTAGATAATTGGCAATACCCAGTTTGGGAGTTCCCCACTCTAGTTAAGCTTTGTTTATTTGCTGTCAGTGTTTCTATAAGGGATTCTGTCTCCAGATAGACAAGCCAGTTTGTTTTACATTCTGCTTGAGCAGAAGCGGACTGTGCAAAAGAGGGAAGGTCAGAAGGAAACCTGAGAACAATTGCTCTAGACATACCCGGGAGGCTGTATTAAATCTCTCACTGAGTGCCCTAAGAAGGGCTTCACAGGCATGGCAGACAGCCTGGGCAACGGCATGGAGGTGAGAGATGATGCAATGTTGCCACTTGGGCTGCAATATGGAACGCGTGATGGGAAGTGACATGTCCTCAAGTCGGGAAAGGTAGGTGGGAGCTGGGCTGGAAAGGGTTAATGTGTATTCCTGAAGCTACCCTTTCCTCCTTCAGAGCTGGTTATTTCATTCAATAAAATCAGTAAGAAATTTCTCCTTTGATATCTCCCTAGGCTTGAATTTAGAGCAAACTCTGTTTATAGGGTAATTTGGAAAGCACGAGCCCCTTGCACAGCTCACTTGTGGGCCTCGGTACGTTAACTCCACGAGATGAGCTTTTTTGTCTTATGTTCGAGCACTAAAGGGGTTTCAGCAGATCCCAAGAACGCTTCCCTCCTCTGAAGGGGCCCAAGCTGTAAACCTGTGGAGCTCCTTTCTTCAGAACTCCCCAGCACCTCAGATTGGGCAAGGAGAGGTTCATGCAAATTCAGCTGTAGAGTAGCTAATCCAGGTGTGCCCAAATGAGCATGACTGAACACAAAAAGCACTCATGTTTATAACATCATCAGCTTGGAACTAGAAAAATCCTTAGAGGTCTTCTGGTCCAGACACTTCACTTTACCGATGAGGAAACTGAGGCATAAAGAGGTTATGTGAGAAGCAGCTAGGTGATGCTGTGGATACAGTATTGGACCTGGATTCAGGAAGACCTGTGCTCAAATATGACTTCAAATATTTATTAACTTCACTTAACCCTGTTTGCCTCAGTTTCCTCATCTGTAAAATGAGCTGGAGAAGGAAATGGCAAACCATTCTAGTTATCTCTGCCAAGAAAACCCCAAAAGGGGTCACAAAGAGCTGGATGCAACTGAACAACAAAACACTACATAAATGCTGGCTATTGTTGCCAAGGGCTTGTCCAAGGGCACCCAGATAGTAAGTGCCAGAATCAGGATATGAACTCAGGTCCTCTTACTTCAAATTCACTACTCTCTCCAGTGTCCCAGCATGTCTCTTAAAAAGACCCAGACCAGAGAAGGCAAACTCAGCCCCTGATCATTTGACGACAAGAGTCTGCTCACTCTGGGTGCCCAGCATCATATACTTGGAAGCTGGATAATTGTGGTACAGACAGTAAGCTGTGGGTAGTAGAGACCAACATTTGTGGTGCAGGCCACTGAATGTCTGTGGGATAGTTACATGCTCATAACTTTGCATCTGATTTTTTTCTTTTATCAAAATCCTTGCTCCTCAGGAAGCGGCTCTCTCTAGTTCCCCCTCTCCTAGACATAAGGTTACTTGTTCTGCCCCCTCTTCCTCCCTGAAGAGATTCTGCACGAGTCCACCTTGGGAGAGATCTGCCACACACTCAAAATGCGGAAAGGTTTATCAGCACCCACACCAGGACAGCTCCTGCTTGGGATGATGGAAGGTAGGACATACAGGGCTTCTCTTCCCTAAATGGACCTCACGTCTTGTTACTTAGTCAAAGCAAAATTTGTTTGTTGAACAAACAAATCTCTCCAGAACAGAAGGGGAGAAACCCCATTTTCCTTATTGAGGAATTGCTGTCTGTGCTGGACATGGACTTAATATGAAGAGAGCAGAAGAAGTGCTAGACTTAGTCTGGGGTCATAGGAGACTAAACCTACAACCCTGGTGACCAGGGACCTGACTGGCCTATACCCTACTGGGACAATGAGGGAGATAGAGAATAAAGAGAAGGCCAGCTTGGCACGCGTCAGTGGCTGGTTAGCTCTCCCTCACAATTGAGATCAGTGGGACCCACAGCATACCCCAGAATATTGGAATCTGAGGCTCAGGGCTAACTCTGCTGATGCTGATGCAGAGGCTCTGAACCTATCTCAGGATTGACTGTTCATTTCACCCGACCAGTGGGTCCTTCAATAAATGTTTTTGACCTGGTCACAAAAAGTCTTCCTCTTGTAGCTGTTTCCTGTAGGTCAGACCTGGACTCTAACTGGCCTGCCCATCAGACTTATACAGTGGGTAGATTAACAAAGACATTACCTGAAAGCCACAGTTGTGCTGTTCTTGTGTGTGCACACAACGTCCCGAGTCTGATAGCCAATCTGGATGTCCCAGTGCTTGTTCTCCTGCCTGTTCTGCCTATTTCGGTTCCTCTTCTTCTTGATGAGCTCCCGGGCTTCGGGATCCTTTACTTTCTCTCTGTCCTTCTCTCGGTCTTTGTTCTTCCCTCGCCTCCTCGCCTGCCTTATCTGCCTTGTGTGAGGCATGGAGCAGGTGCTCCAGGGCCCCACATTCAGGCTGTAAAGGCTCTCCTCTGCCTCACATGGACTGGACTGGCAGATTTGGAACTCAGTCAGGTTGGGGCAGGCAGAGCCGCCATACTGTGGGGGGGCCACAACATGCCGTGTCCGGTGCTGCAACCCACTCCCACATGTCTTGGAGCACTCAGACCAAGGGGAGAAGTCAGACACAATGCAGTCCTGTGGGCAAGGGATGAGGCAGGCTTGCTCCAAGAGGGGCTTGGGCTCAAAGTACTCACAGATGCTGTCATCAGCACTGATGCTGTTGGCTTTCTGAACACAGGCGATCTCTCTGGTCTGGATGCCCTCCTCACCCTTGGTGCATTCTGCTGGCTTCACCAAACTCTTGGACATGACAGGCTGGCACTGGTTCCAGCTGCCCAGGTGCCAGTCATACAGCTCTTTGTGCCAGTCACAGACTTTGAAACAGTCTTGCTGGGTGTCTGGCTTCTCAGCCTGCTTGCAGTTTGTGTGCAGTGTTGTCCAGCCTTCTGCATGAGCACACCAGACTGCTCTGGTCTGAATGCCACCTGGACCACATTCGTCTCCCATGCATCGGCCCCAGGGACCTGTAAAATAGGATACAGTTTAGCAGAAACTCTCTCTTTTTCACTGGGCCCTGACAAAGTTCAGAGAGCTATTGCCAAGTGGCTGAAGAGTAAGTCTTCCCCTGTATGGGACACCCTGTGATGGGACCGTCTGGATAGCTATCTATTATGCATGGATTAGGGCATTAGGGAGATGGCATGTGCAGTGAAGATGCTACATTTTCTCTTGTCCTTTTGTGATTATAAATGCATTTGCCTTTATTCTCCTATTTTTATGTGGGGTAATTACAAGATCTTTGCTCATAAAGGGCATTAGAGATTAGTCACATTGAAAATCTATCACTTCTGGCTTCCACCCACCAAGTCCATTTCAGGCATTGGCAGAGATAATGGCCCCTGGTGAGCCCCTCAGCTCCTTCAGGCATGTTCCTCTTCTGGGCAGTTAATTTCTTTTAGCACATTACTTTTATTTATTCATTTATTTTTTGTGCAATTAAGACTTTGGGGAAGAACAGTCATGTCTTGTAGATGATGCCAAAAATTAAAGTGTTTACCCGGTATTAACCAGGGCTTGATAATGGTTCACATAATTCTGCACATTCTGCATGCAATATTACCTAACAATCCTCCCCAAACCCTCTCTGTGGATCAGCCACTAATGAAGTGCAGGGTATGCGGGAATGGGAACATTTAACTAAAGGATGGATGGAATTTTTCCGGGGAGCAGCTTTGTCCTAATTCGCTTCAATTTGACAATGAATTACTGAGTTACTAATAACATGTAACAAGAAGAGGCAACATTGGGGTCTAGAGGTGTTTTGTGAAGACTATGGCACAAATTATTCTTCATACATTATGTCATGTTGTCCTCACAAGTACCTGGTGTGCTGAGTGCCTGATGCATTATAGCCCCCATTGCGCAGATATGGAGACTGAGGCTCAGTTACCTGACAATTTCACTTTCATGCTTAGGAAGCTCAGTAGCCCCCTATTACCCTTAAGATCAAATGCAAACTCCTCTATTTGGCAAGCCTTTCATGAACTATGACCTATCACTCCCTTTAATGCACTCCACGGCCAGTCAGATTGTCCTTTGAGCTGTTCCTCCCACACAAGATTCTACTTGCCATCTCCCTGCCTTTCCACAGGCTCTCTGCCATGCCTAAGCTATCCCAGAATCCCTCTCTTCCCTCAGAGCCGAGCTCTGAATATGCCCTCTTTTTCCTGAGGCTATTTCTTATCCTCCCAGCTGGCCATGCATTCCTTCCCCTCATGCCATGAAATTACCTCATATTTACACTGCATATATATGTTGTATATAGTGCCATGCATCAATGTAGGAAGCTCCATGAGGCCAGGAACTCTTTCTTGTTCAAGCACACAGCTGAATCTGGACAAATATGATTCACTGATTGATTGCCCTTGGCCTAACAGCCAGCAAGGACTGGAGGGAGGAAGTCCACCAGCCTGCCCATCAGCCTACACTTGCTGGGATGACAGAGGCTCTGTCTCAGTCACCTAGGATTTGGGTCAAAGTAACATGAGCAATCTGGGCCTCAGTTTCCTCTTCTATAAACCAAGGGGCCTGGATGTGATGACTTCCAGCTCAAGATCCAAGATATACACCTCTCCCGACCCCAGGTTCAAGACTGTTTCCATGACCCCATATGTGGTGGTTTCTACAGGGGGTACCGAGATGAGGGGCACAGTTTGTATCCTTAAGTAGCTTAAGACAAGTACAGATGAGGGCTGGGAAGACTAAAAGCCTGGCCAAAGCTTCGACAGCTAGTTAGCTAGCCATACAGCAGAATACATATGGCAGCGGCCTTTTTCTCTGATAAGTGCCAGAAAGTTCCTTCTACCCTCAGACTTCTACTGGTCCTTGGATGGGATAAAGGTCTTTGAAGAAATTTTTTTTTTAAATCTATCATAAACCCCACTCCCTAGCTGCCCTTTGAGAACTCATAACATGGATTCTGGGGCATATTCAGTTGGGCTCTCTCACCCACAAGGAAGTGTTGAGCTGGTCACAGGAAAATGAGAGGAATTGGTGCCAGGTGAGGCCCCCAGCCCCTGACCCTGGTCTCCATAGGCCAAAGACAGTCATGTAAAGCAAGGAAGAAGCAGCCTCCTGTGGTAGGACCTTTGTATCAGGCACAAAGGGTAACTATCCAGTGTGACGGCCTGATGGTCAGTCTTGAATCTTAAGCCAACACACATTCCTGGTACGAAGTCCTGGTTTTGGGTTCAGAAACATTGGCCAGTTTTTCCTTCATTCGTCAGAGAAGATTCCAGGCCTGAGCTGTGAAGGGTACCTGAGTCAAAGCTTGGTCCACTGATGGATTCAAAAACATTCATGACAGGTCTGACTGTGTTTTCTGATTGTGTTCTCCCCCGAATGAAACCGTCCCATGGCTCCCTGATGCCTTGAGGATAAAATGCCAAACCCCAGCCTGCCTCTGAAAGCTGTTCATAGTCTGTTCCTGCCTACTTTTCCAGGCTTAATTGGACTGCTGGACGTACTCTGGCCTTGGTGTGCCCTTGTCCACATTGGTGACTCTGCCCAGGGTGCCTAGAATGTTTGTCCTCATCTCTGCTTCACAGAATCCCAAGCTACCTTTAGAACGTACCCCAGGAAAGGTGCCTCCTTCTGCAGAGGATGCTACTGCCTAATTCTTGCCCCCAGCCCCCACCCCACACTGGTTATCTCTGCCTACCTTTGAAAAGGCTTTGGGTTTCTTCACGCACATATCAGATTTATTGGCCATCCCTGCACCTACTTGAGAGTGGACACTGTTTCATTTGTGTCTTCATATCTCTATGTGTCCTTCGCACATAGCACTTAATGAATGCTTCTTCTATTCGATTAATGCCCTAGCCCTCAGCCACTTCAAAAGAAACTTGAATTTACTCAACAGCCTTGCAAATTACCCAGTCTGCATTGATTGTTTTTACAACTCACACCGTGCTTTTACCTGAGGTGTCTGAAGCTTTGTCTGAGCCGACAGATAAAGAAGCAGAATTGCTCCATAGAAGGAATGTTACTCTATTTTCATTAGCAGATGGCAATAGCCCAGTTTAAAAAAGGGGGAATCAAGATAGTTCAAAGCTGTACATTGATCACAAGAAAAGAAAGACACAGAGACTCAGATGCTCCTGTAAGGCCCATGTGCAGGTATTCACTAACTCAGACACACACCTGTGCACACACATGCACACACGTGCATATGCAGGAACCCACACACATATATGTACATACATATATGAGGTATTTCCATATTTTGGCATTTCCAATTTGTGGTCAGAAACTTGACCCAGGCAATCCGTCCTCAGTGGATCAGTCACTTATCCAGTCAACACACACCCACTGAGCACATTCAAGAGAGAGCAGACGACGTGGAGGGAGGCTGAAGGTCAATGCCAGGTTCCACTTGGACAAGAGCTCCTTCTACTGGAGGGGTTTCCAGCCTTCCACTTCATTCTACCATGAGAAGGCTGGGCAGTCTCTGATAACTGGACTCGGCCATTTATGAGCTGATAGGAGGGCCTTAGAGATGATCTCATCAAGTCACTTCATTTCACCAACAAGGCGAGAAGGGACGTGATTGGGTCAGGGTGACATAGCTGAAAAACAGAAGAGCTGAGATTTGAACCCGGGTCTTCACTCGGTCAACAAGTAGTTATTAAGTGATTACTATGGGCCAGATCCTCTCCTTGGCTGCTGGTTCTGAGCATGACCAGAGAACCTTGGGTCTTTCCAAAGCCACCAAGGTTCCCCTGATTGGTGTTTTTGCTTTGTCTTTATTAATAGACTTTGACCCTGTGAGGACAGTAGCCCATTCCTTCATCTCTGCACTAAATCTGGCACAAAATTCTGAACATAGCGGCCTCTTCACAAAGATCTGGGGAGGGGCTAACCTGTTTACTTCCTTTTAATTGAAGACCTGCTATGGTTTGTAAGAAGGAACCAAGATGCAGCTCTGGCTAAGATCTTTCCTTCCTCATCTCCCCCTGCTTATGCTTGACATTAGCTAATTCTCAGCTCAGGCTTTATTTTACCTGCCATGGCCCCACTTGGCAACCTGCTGGTGCCCTTGGCGTCCTGGTTGGTTTCACAAGTGTATCTTGTCTGTAGAAAATATGGTATGGACAAATATGAACATGAGCACCATAATTCAAGGGCATTGATTGACCAAAGAGAGCCTTTCAGTAGAAGTTCCGATAGCCCAGAGGCACAGGTCTGACCCTGTCCCTCCCCATTCTGCACTTCCCTGTTTGTGCCTATGATCAAATACAGACTTCTGTCTGGCACTTTAAGGCCCCCACAGTTGGACTCCAGCCTCTTCTAGATGATGGCTCTTGACTTCTCCTTCACATAGTCTAGTTTCAGACAAGTTAATGGTGCTGTTTCCTACACAGAACAACTCCAGCCTTTGCACACACGGCTGCTTCCCAGACCTGCAGGGATCTTCTTCTTTATGTCCACATCTGGAATCTCCAGTTCCTCTCAACAAGACATCAGATTCTGGGTCATCTTCCATATAAAGCCTTTTTTATCTCTCCAGTTATTTTATGTTTCCCCACACCTATAGGAATTTATTTATTCTTATTACTAGATTTTCCACATTTCCTTTTGCAGTGTGCATTTACCTTCAGTAAAATGAAAGCCCCTTGGAGGCAAGGGCAGTTTTACTTTTGTCTTTGTATCACTGGTGTGTTAGCTATATATGTCCTAGACGCCTGTTGAGATCCCTTCCAATTCTGTGTATCTATTACCTAGCACAGTATCAGAGGCATGGTAGGCATTGAATTGAATTGAACAGAAATGACCACATTTAAAATAATTTGATTTCTCAACGTGATTCACCCAATGAATTATTAAGAGGACACTTATTACAGTTTGAGAAAGCTATGGTAGATAAAGGATCATTCATTCATTTATTCAGATACCAGCATAGGAAAGTATATCTCTGATATTCAATAATAAAGATGTCTGGACTGTATACCCTTTTCTCTTTGAT